GACACTGATAGCGAAAAGCAATAGTAGTCAGAATAATGGAGGGAGAAAGGCGTGCGAGGGGACACGCGCAGGCAACCATGACGCCCTCAAGGACAGGCTCGATGGGGAAGCGTAGGCCGAATCGGATGAACTCTTGATACAAACCCACCCATCCCTCTCCGCACAACCCGATCCGCGCCTCGAGAGGCGCATGGATGTATCTCCACGGCGCAGGTAATTGAGCGCACACGACCAGTTTTTCTAGGCGCACCCCTAGTTGTTTCGAGGCGTGGTGTGAACCGGCATCGAGTCCCATGGCCGAAACATGTAGTCTTGGGACACGGAAGCGCCTGAGTCGAAGGAAGGGGCAAGGTGTAAGGTAACGGAGTGCGTAGGGGCGCTTTAAAGGGTGAAAACGCGTGGGGGCGCCTGAACCCTATGATAGACGTTGCGAAAAATGTTGAAGGGGAGGGGAGAAAGCGGTTCAACTACAACAGGGAAGGCGCATAGAGATAGACTTACTCGATGTAGCAGGGGCCGCAGGGGCGTTTGTGGTCTCGCCATCAACGAGCGCCTGGGATTGGGAAGGCGCAGATGAAGTGGGAGGCACCTCGGTCGGAGGTGGAGTGGACCCGCGATGGGGGGCGGCCGCCTCGGCGGAAGGCGCAGGGGTGCTGAGGGGGATTTGACGCGAGGATGCCATAGCGAACGAGGAGCGTGGGGAAGGGCAAGCCGGGGGCAAGGGAGAGAGTTTATAGTTAGAGAGAGGAAGTAGAGAGATGAAGTTTGCAAATTGTGAGGACTGTTAAGGGGGAGGAAGGAAATTTATAGGGAGAAGGGGGCGAGCGAAGGAGAGAGAGGAAGGGGAGGCGAAGAGACTTCCCCAATCCGCTCTCGATTTTGAAATTTGAATTTCAAAACGCGAGCGGATCGGGAGGAGGGAAGAGAGAGGAATCGCAAGGGACACCATGGCACAGAAAAAGAGGCGGAAAGGGGGGCAGTCGAGAGAAAATAAAAAATATATATATATATATATATATATATGTATAATAAAAATAAAAGATATATATATAAAAAATAATAATAATAAGTAAGTAAAAGAACACATACTTACGTATAGGCGAGTAGGGGAAAAGAGCGTGGATAAGAAAAGAGAAATACAAGGGAGAAGTAGAGAGTAAATCGTACGAAGTGAGAACGCATAGCAGAGAAGGAAGCGCGCGAACCTCAAGAGAGGCAAGGCGCATGAACCTCAAGAGAGCCCTTGGGAGCGGACGCGGATCCAAGAAGGGCGCGGAGAAAATACACAGTCAGGCCCCTAACTTTGGGTGTTAGGCGCCTAAGTGGGGGGCAATTGTTGGGGGAGTGAACATGGGCCGGCCCAGAAGAGAGAAGCCCAAGATAAGTTATTATGGACCGGAGGCGCGGGCCCAACCAAGAAGACTTAGAAAGCCCATGGGAGCAGGAACCTTGGGCTGAAGGGCGCCCGGATCTGGGCCTGGGTGGCTGAGATAGCGCGTGAGACAGGTGGGACCGGGCACCTGGCGAGGGACATATGAGACAAAGGCAGCCAACGGTCGGAAGTGTACGAAAAGATGATCAGGTGATGTCATGCGCCTTCAACCTCTGACCGAAGCGTCAGATGGTCGAGGCGCATGGTCTAGGGGTGTACGGCGCATTTATGGCGGGTCTGACACAGGGCGAGAACGACGTGTACCGATCGATCTCGCCCCGGGTATAAATATTAGAGTAGGTAAACCTCATTTACTTAGTTTTGCTTCTCTTACTAGAACTGTTTCTTCACTTCTCTCTCTAAAAAGTAGGTTCTTACTTGAGCGTTGGAGTGCTAACGGGCCAATTCGGTCCGCTAGGCGCTTGTGTGGGTGCAGGGAGGCGGCTGAGCAAGCGGACGAGGGGGCTCGGAGCGTGAGGCGTGTGAAAGGAGGGGGGGGGGGGGTACTGGGCATAAACAATATTTGACATATTTTTTCTATTTCAATTTAAAATCCTAAATCAATAGTATCATTCGGAAGATTTTTTCCTTCATACGATTATTGTAATTTCTGAGATTTAAGGGTATTTGATAATGTCAATATTTTAATGGTTTTTTATTTAAATTTATTATTGAAAGATCGTACGTACCGGTAGTTAGACCATGAAACTTCACATCATAGGCTAAATCGATAGGTGATATTTAACAATATGGCACGGTTGAACCACAATTAAATTATGATTTTAGTGTAAAATACTCTACTACCAACTTTTTCAATACGATTTTACAATCCTTTGGTTCAAACAATTCTTTTACACTGGTGGAAACAAAAGTTTTAAGGCACATTTTGAACTATCTATTGCAAAAAAGCATAAGTCAGTTAGTGATAATAAGAATATGCGATTTCATGCAAACCAAAAGACACTTCACAACTTCTATATTTTAAAATAAATGTATGCTACTCATACCCTCGCTCATTCATCAACTTAATGAGTAACATATATTTCATGTAATATTATTTTCATACATTTTTATTTATTGAATTATTTCATGAAAAAATTATTTGTTGCATGAAAATTACTACATTGTTGCTAGAAATGTGTGCGATCTGGGAATAATTTGGGAAGTCCATACACAACACATTGTACTAAACTCTGTGAGATATTTTCTTTCATCCTAAAGGTTGATTATGTATGCATGTATGTATGTATTATGAGAAACAACTATAATATTCAACTATATGGTTTAATTAAGTAATGAATGACAATTAGTTATATTCTTTTTTCATTCAATAATTATATGTAATGCCTATATTATATTTTTTCTCGACAAAATTCATAGGTGTAAACACATTATCCATAGGTGTATTACTTTAAAAATGTTATGTGCATAACTAAAATAGAAAACAATCATTTCTTGCGTTTCAAATCATCTATTATATTCATTATTATATACCATATTTCTCGACAAAATTCTTCCGGCCAACGAAGGATGTTAGTAGTGATAAGATGAGAACAGGAAGTTGAGAACGACCCAGAGAACGTACTCAAGAAGAAGAACAGGAAGTTGAGAAGATGAGAAGGACTCCTCTCTCTCGCCTGCGAGGCGACAACCACGACCCACTCCCATAAGGCAGCGGAGACACACAGTTGATCTCTTCTCCTTGGCATCCTTTGTCAGCGACATACATGGTAGATTGACGGCGATGCGCGTTGAAGAATATGGGGGAACACAAGATAGATAATAAAGGCAAGGCGAAGTCGTCATCACCGACTCACCACCGACCACCCCGAACGACGTCGGGCTCCAGTAGGGATGACAACAAAACCCGAACCCACGGGTACCCACCCGACCCAACCGGTCAACGCAGGTAAAATTCGTGTTGACGGGTTTTGGGCCGGGTTTGGGTTATACCCATTCACTATTCGCCGGTTTGGGTTTAGGTAAACCCGAACCATGGGTACCCACCCACACCCATATAATTAATTTTCTCGGTATATTTTATATTCTAAACAACTAATCTTATTTATGTTTGTGGAGACATGTGTAATTTTTTCTTTCTAGTTTTGTAGAATGAAGTAGATGTTATCGAGTAGAGAGTGAGGAAACGTAGAGGTCGTTTGGAGAACAGGATTCATGACGTAGATTCACTGAATCCATAGATTTTGTAGAAAGTTATGTTTTTTGTTGCTTTTTGTACTGTGGATTCTAGCTTTAGATATTTCAAATCTCTAAAATCTGCGGATATCAAATCTCTCATAATCAGAGATGTTTTATATCTTGATTCGTGAGATTTTTTTTTCTACTAGTTTTTCTCTTACTTTTATTTATTTATCACATGAAATATATTTATCAACAAATTTTTTAATATTTATTGAGCCACTCTAATTTTTTTATTTAGGATAAACATTTTATTTAATATAAAATTAAAATTAAACTAATTGAATGTTAACAATCACAGTTACCAAACAATAAACATTTTAAAATCTGTTTTCAACAATCTAGAGAGTTAGAATCGTTAGATTGTTGACAATCTGTAGATTTAAACTCATATTCTCCAAACGACCCCTTAATTTAAAGGAAGAAGTTTTCAATTAATCATGTTATTTATGGATAATTTGTGATTTGGTTCAATTTTCTTGAGTTTTCTATATTGGTGTTGAACAATTTGTATAGTTAATTTGTGATTTGCTTGAATTTTTAGAATTGTGTTTTAAATATGGACAATTTGTATTGAGAGATTGATATTTGACTTTAATTTTGATAGGAACTTGTTATTGTAAATTTTTTACTACAAAAACCCGTGAGTACCCATGAACCCGCGGATACCCAGCAGGTTGGGTTGACTTTGAATTTTTCAAACCGAATGGGTTTTACCCCGAGTTTTTTTTCATAAATAAACTCATGAATTTGAATTTGGGTTTGACAAAACTCGACCTATTGCCATGCTAGGCTCCAACGACAGAGAGTTGATGAAAATTATATTATCTGATCTGGAAAGGCGAGGAAAGGAAGAGAGAGAATGTAAGTTCTTGACAAGTAGAGCAAAGGCGGAGATAGAAAATGAGGAACTAGAGATTATGCACGTGGGAGAGAGGGATGTGAACTGTTCTCAATTTATGTGGTTTTATTACTTTTTTTAATTTTCATTTAAATGACAATTTTTTTGGAGATGAGAATAAGGGAACAGTTCTTAGGTTAAAATCGGACTGGACATAATAGTTCAATCCGACCACAGTTGAAAACGAATTTCTATTCACTTCAATTTTCGATGGCTGACCAAAACAATTTAAAATATCAGGCCAATTCGATTCAGTTTAACCAGACAAAACCGTTTTCCAACTTTAATCCAAGTATTTTAAGTTCTAACTAAAGGGAACGACACCGTTCTAGGAAACAAGTTCACAATCTAACAAGCAAGTCTTCTTCTTCCTCCACTCTTTTCAGTAGCAACTTCAGTATTCGGTTGCTCAGAACCATGTTTCCCGTTGGAACTGCATCTTGGGGACAGGGGACTTGATCGATATGCTGCTGAACTCTACTTTTATTATAAAAAAAAAACGTTGGTATGAGAGACAATGGACGTTAGGCCAGCCGACACAAGCGAGGTTACTATCTTCCCCTTGAGACTGCTTACTTCTCCCTCAAAATCGCACCCACCCAGATTGCCCAATGTTTCTATTCTCTGACCGCAGGTCCAAATACAGTCGATCTTGATCTTTTGGATACTTAGAACCTTCAATTAGTTCGATGTAGAAACCCGATTGTGGTGTTCAATCATAATAACTAAAAAACCGAGCTCCCAATTATGGATCCTTAGACAATTTGTTTTTCTGTCATTTGAAGAGGTTCTAGTAGTACAATCACATTTTTACATTCCACTATGAACATCAGCAGAGGCTACAGATATTACCAAAAACCTCTTTCTATCTCTATGAATAAACCTACAGTTCCGGGCATCTCAATTAGGACCCCAGCAATTCAAGTACATAACTTTCTTTAGAGATTCTTCAGCCTGTTGAGGCTCCTTCAATTTATTGGAGACCAGTGCGGCAGAGGAAGGCGCAAGGCTCTTCGCCTGAGAGAAGGATCTAACGTTGGTTTTGGCGTGATGATGAACAGATCTGAGGATGTAATTCCACCTGCAGAATCCCATTTGATCTTTGAGTGCCTCCACGGCTCCTATGCTGGCGGCTACCATCCAAGCTTTGCTTGTCGAACTCATAGCCATAGATAGCTCCAATTTAAACTTTTGAGCAGCTTTCTGGAAACTCAAGCGAGGGAGTGAATGAATGAAGGTGAGGAAGTGACTATTTAGGGAGCGAAAATGTGATTGTTATCTGTTGAAGATCTGAATGACTGAATGTAAAGTCTTAGTTATATATAGTGGGAGGACACCAAGAACTTGAGGCTTGGTAGTGTTGCTGGTTTTCAGTGGGTAGTGGCCCCCTGTTTTCTGTGCCTTTTTAATTAGGTGATGATGGTATAGAAGAAGTAACGACGTGGTGATGATAAATCTGACAGCCCGCTGCTTGTGTGACATCTGTGTCAACGTGGCAGATTTTGGTGGGATTCAGCACTTGGTTTTCTAAAAGACCTGGGGAAATGGGGGAAGAAGACAAGATAAGCCGTCCATGGGAACAAATCAACATGTGCCATGTTGGTTGGATGGCAAGTCGGATTTTGCTTTATTTTTTAACTAGGAGATGATAAATTGAGTATGACCAATTGGGTATTATCCGATCTTATTGTATTGGCATGTATTATCTAACTTTATAGTTATTATAGTATATAATAGACAAAATACATTTTCATATCCTTAACTTTATATTTCATGACAAATATAGTCAAATTTGAAGAGAGACCTAAAGACATCACCAACTCAACACACACATTCTTTTCATCTTCATCTTTCCTCCTGCAAGCTTCTATCTTCCCCCCATCGTCGCCAATGAAGCTCAAACGAGGCCGTTGTCCGCAAATCTAACGGCGGCTGAAGATCATATCCCGCCGATTCCCAGGTTGAGCTTAAATGGGAAGGCGGGGAATTTTTGTCGTGGCAAAGAGGGATTTTTGCCTTTGTCATTGTCGATGCCACAACCACCGCATTCTCATTCAACGATGACTGCCATTTCAATGGAGTAGGGGGTTCGGTGATGCATCGGAGATGGGAAAGAAGAAGCAGCGGCAAAGAAGGGGCTGCTGGAAAAGGACGACTGCTGTGATTCTTCTTCAACCTCGCCGATTGATTAGGGTTGTTGCTCGGCGAGTGCAGTTCAGATATGGAGTCAGGGAGTCGCATTAAGAAGTCGAAGTGTCGAAAGGGAAATTACGGTTGCGGATATAGAGGATCTCGAGAATGGTGAAACTTGATGAGCTCGAATTTGGCAATGGTTTAAGATGCAACCCTCTAGTGCCGGTGGTGATTGTTATTTTGATTGTGGTTACTACTTACTACCATCGATTGCTTGTGCGGCGGGTTGCTGGGAGCGGAAGGGCAGACACATAGAGGTAAAGGAGAAGTAGAGATCTTAAATTCAAGGGAGAAATAGATTAGGGAATAGGGATCGGTTCTATGGAGTTGGGAGTGCTTGTTTTCTTGTTGTTAATGTTTTTTATTTAATAAATACTAGTAAGAGCCTGCTCGCTACGCTTCGCGTGTAAGCAGGAGCATAGCATTGCGCCCTGGGAATCGATCACGTGAGCAAATCAATATGGATTCTTAGCTTAGTAGAAATGTTGAGAAATGCACATAATTGTCTTAGAAAGGTTTATATTCAATATTAGGAGACCCAAATAGCATTAAAACTTGTTTTTTATTAGTAGCGTAACGAAAGTTGCATAAACTATCGGGGCCTGTAGCATATCGAAGATAAACATCCCCTTCATTTTAAGTGCACAGCTGAGATTAATTGACATCAGAAAATGCACCAGAGCGTAATGGCCATCTTCTTTGATGTCTTCGGTCAATGTTTCTGCAGTTCTTTTCTTCAACTTTGGTTTTGCCATCTCTGGAAGTTCCTTCTTGCACTGGCTGCCTCTCTCCGTTAATGATGAACTACAAAAATAGCTTGAATTCTAAGAAAAAGCAAAGATGCACAACTTGACAGACCATATATGGAAGCACGCAGAAGGAAATTTGTATAGAAGAGTTACATAGTATCCAAACGCTAACTCTTGAGGTTACATGACAATTAAACAAAACGAAGACTTCAATCAACTGGACTTTCTCCCGCACAACAGAATGGAAAGCAAAGAATTCATTAGTGAGATTCACATTAAGACAAATGACTTTGACAAAGCACATAAAGAGAGGCAGCCAAAGAAGAGTCAATCCAACTGGAGCAAAACAAAGTTAATACCGTATGTTAGGAGCCTTGCGTTGAAAGGCCATTGAGCAAGTAGAAGTTGCAGCTGGCATCATGCATAAAATCTCATACACATATAGTGTTTTAAGCAAATTGGGGTCTCTTCAAGCTAAAGTGTAAGACTTCTGAAACATCAAAGAACAAATAACCAACTGATAAGAAAAAACATCGTAGAAAATCCCTAGTTAAATACAGCAAGGTCTTTGTTTGACCTGAGTACGTAGGGATTAAATGACTAATTCCTCCATATGCCTCACCCATCAGATGAACCTGATCCCATAGTCTTGCATTAGAAGTGTGATTTGAGATTACACATACACAGGCATGAAGATGAGAAGCAGGTTCTTTGTTAGAGGAATAATGAATGAAATTACTTGGTCACCGTTCAGTATCTAAAAGCACTATATCATGAGCATAACCGAGCATCTCGCCTGCTTTCTCACTTGCAGTACCAACCATATGCAATTCCATGACAATACCAACAGCTTCACCGTTGCAACACACTCCTAATACCATTATAGATATCTTCATCAGTAGCGAGTAATGGGGAGAAATTGCAAACAGAAGCATTCCAAGACTTGAGAGCCCTTTTCATTGTATCAAACGAATATCTTATTCAGAGGCACCAGAGTGCTTAAACGTGCAAAGTAGTTGGATAACAATAAATATCCCAAATCCAGCCTAAGCACCATTCAATTCATCATCCCTTTCTCCACAATCACCTCGTAACCACCCACCCTAAATGCCTACCCCCTCCTTCAGTTTGGCAGGCCACCAAATTATTACATATATATAGTCTCTCCCACAACCCAAAAGGCTCCCCTGACTTTTAATGGGAGATAGATGAATTCAAAAGGTACAAATTCAATAGTCATATAGGGATTTACAAAAATGAGAAACAACATCATGTGAGAGGAAATTTTGCCCCTCCCAACTATTTCCATCAAAGAAAGCTAACCCCTAAGTACAACAATAAAATGAGTGATAAGAACTCTCTGTACTTATAAACATCATGTGAAAGGAAATTTTGCTCCTCCCAACTACTTCCATCAAAGAAAACGACCCCTCTATACAACCATAAGACTGAATGATAAGAACTCTCAGTACTTACAAACCATATCTCAATGGCAATCAACAACTATATTGTAAACTTACAGTGCTCATATTGTAACCCCTCTATACAACCATAAAACTGATTCATAAGAACTCTCAGTACCTAAAAACCATATCGCAAAGGCAATCAGCAGCTATATTGTAAACTTACTGCACTCATATTCACTAAATAAAGAAAGGAAATGCTTGCTAGATTAGGGTAATGGTGCTGCTCCTTGCTTTCATTGCTGCAGGCAACAAAAAAAAAATAGCTTATGCAGTGGCCTTTTAACTGTCTGCTCATCTTGTTTTTGCTTTCCATTCGTATCAAACACCTTAACTTCTTCCACCTTATTTTATATATCCACATAAAAATTGGATCCAAATATACACCTTCAGGTTTTTCCTTTGCAAGTGTACTTCATTTCATTCATTCCGAATAAACTAAAACAAAAGTAGAAGCAGCGATGGGAGAAGGAAGTATAAAAAACTTAGCAAAGTTGAATAAAGCAGGCGAGAATACCACGGTGGTTCTAGCTTGCCAATCCTGCTCAACCAAGTCGGCTTCTCCATCTCTTCCTCCCTCCTTCATGCATTCGGCTTCATCTCTCACTGTAAGTCACAACCGTGCAGCAAGACCCTGATAAAACTTTAGCAGCTACGTAACAACATGAACTCGCTAGGAAACATACTATCTAGGCAAGTGGAATTATTCGAGGCAGATAAAAAAACGCAATCCCTTCATAGATCATAGTAAAAAATACAGCAAGAACATGGATGGCAAGACTAATTCCTTTACCTCTGTAAAGGGTTGAACGCACAAAATCTCTTCTAAACTCATATTTCTTGGTGAGTCTTCAAACCACAATTGGAAGGCACTAATAGAGTAAAAGTGTAAATGTTGGTAACCAAGTGGTGCTTCATTAGATCGGCCATAAGAAGATAGCCAGAAACTATAAAAAATCTTGACGCAGGGTTGATAGCTTAATCTTCGGCGGTCTTCCTCTTTCTTCTTGTTAAGCATCCTCCTCCTCTTCTTCTTCCACGGCTAGAAAGAGAGGTGAGATAGAGATGGGTGGATTGGAAGACATGGGCAAAAGTTCCCAATAAACCTGAATCTTGAAAAGACCACTACATCTTCCGACGCTATTGTGCTGTCAAACCCCCGCTATTGGGTTCCACCTGAGGTCAAACGACAACTTCTTCCTTGGTCTTCCTCTTCTTCTAGCTATCATCCTTTGCTGGTCAATACCTCTCTGTTGCCAAGCGTGGGCTAACTGTCGGAGAGAACCCATTCTGCCAGCTTCTTTTGCTTCCATCTTCTCCATCTATTACAGACTGCTCTTCCCGCTTCTTCCACATCTTCCGTAGGCTTGACCTTCTCCGGCAGCCTCGGTCGTTGTAATGTTTCAGATGGCATCGCCTCTTTTTCCCTCTGCCATCGTCACGGGAAGCCCAGGTTTTTTCCCCCTTCAACATCTCCTCCTCTTATTCATCTTGCACAAAGATTGCCCTTGCCATCTTCTACAAAGTCGTGAGAGAGCGAGAGATGGAGACCTGGTATTCAAGCAAGAAAAGATTGGGGATGGAGGAGGATAGCATTCCGTCGAGTGAGTGTTGTCGAGCGGATGAGTGGGGATAGTAGCGGAAGAAGGATTGGGAGAAGAGAAGGCAGCGACAACAGCGGAGGGATTCCCTTCCAGAGAACGACGGCAGCCAGGGTAAAGGGCGGCTGAGTTGGGATTCCGCCGAGAAGCTCTCCATAGCAGAGCAAAATTACTAGGTAGAAAAGCTTGTGTAGGTGAAAAGGAGCAGGCAAAGAAAAGAAGTACTTTAGCCATCCCCGTTCTTCGATTCCCAAGGAGGAAGAGAGCATCGTAGCGTTCTGGGTGGGCTGATGTGGGAGCAGGGGCGGCTGATGTTTTGGTGGTTCGGTGACGACGTTGGGCAGGGACGGCGGCTGGTGAGTAGGGAGGAGGGTCGACAGGTGGCGGACTGGAGCGGCGGTCATGGCGGTGGGCGGTGGCGCGCGACATGGCAAACCCTAGGTTGGAAGTGGCGTAGAGGGGTTAGGAAGGAGAGAGTGCACCGGCGCACTGGTATGGGAAGTGTTGTAAAGGAAGAGGTTTTGGGAGGAATGAAAGTAGAGGAAGCATGCTTGTCTCTGTGGCGAGTTCCAAGTAGTGCGGCAGCTTTCTGCGGCATTGGTAGCGTGCAAGAATAAAATTTTTCGAGGTGGAGAAGACAGGTCGCAAGGCGAAGGACAGAGCGTAGCAGAGAGCAGGTTGATTGAGAGGGAAGGAGAGAGCAGTTTGTGCCTGAAAAATCCAGCGGACAAAGAAAGCGAGTGGGGTAAAAGGGTGGGTTGTTTTTTTTGCGTGAGAGGAGCAAGAGAGGCATGTGGCCCAATGCAGAGTTAAGTCGTGGAACTCCACGAGTCGCAGAAAGGAGCGTGGCCGCCACTAATGAACAGTGGACACATCTAAGGCTTTTATATATTAATTAATAATAATTAAATTTAAATTCCACCCTAGCATGCCACGTAGACCAAGGTAGGCGCGGCCACAGACGATCGTTTGTCTAGTAAGCTCTCATTAGAGTTCCGTTAAATTAATAGAAGGAATGACTATTTTTGTGTATTTTTCAAAATTTGGCTATATTTATCACAAAATATAAAGTTATGGCTATGCAAGTGTATTTTGCCTATATAATATATACTACGATTATTGTTATTTATGTAATTTGATAGATATGTAATTTGATAGAGTTATACGGCTTATTTTTTTTATAAACTCAGCCTGCTTTTTATTTAGTTGGGATTAGTAGAACAATCTCATGAAAGAAAAGGTACCAGGAAGATCGGTAGCTAATATATGAGCTGGTTTGTTCATGTCTCAGCCCGTAAACAAGAATTTGGTGTCTTCTAGTCGTTCCCCCTCTAATCGGATTTCCTCGCAAACTTCCTCCCCTTCCAGCGGTGAGCGCATTTCTCGATTCGTGTACTCCTCCAACCATTCTAAGGCTCTGCTCATAATTTCCCCCTCTTCCTTCTTTTTCAGATTCCATAGATAACAGTTTCGTTCGTTCCATATAAACCAGAGGGCTACCAGAAAGGATGCAATCACTGCTTGTTCATCGCATTCTTGGAGTTCACATAATAACCACTTCTCACAGGTACAATCCTCTCCTTTTCTAAAGAGTTGATGTATGGGGGAAGGTTGTCATACTATTCGAACCCATCCACAGTCCAGAAATATGTGGTTTTAGGTTTCCTTTAGTCCACAAAAGGGACACTCATTACCTCGGTTTGTTCAATCCACTAGGTTTCCCCCTGTGGGAAGAATATTTTGAATCCACCTCCGTGCAAAAACTCTGATTTTAGGTGGTATATCCAGTTTCCAAACTTGATTCCAGTTCACCGGGACATAAAGTTCCCCCATTTCTCCATTCTGTGTCTCCTGCCATTTACAATACGTTGAGCGAACAGTATAGAAGCCTTTATTATCCAATCCCCATACCATTCTGTCGTTTGTTGGCTGTCTAGGGATAAAGATCTGGAGAATCTTAGCTCGGTCCACTGGTTCCAAGAATTTCTGGATTAGGTTCATTTTCCACTGTCTGCTGCTATGGTCAATTAGATCAGATACCTTTGTTGGTCTATCCTCTTCTGTGGACTGCTTATTAGACTTGTAGAAGTTATGTATTTTTCAAATCTTTTGAGCTTCAATTTCCATTTTTCGGCTAGCTCCAGATACATATATTTTATATGTTGCAGCTAGCACTCCTTGAGCTGGGAATTCGTCACAAGCAAATGAACCTTGGTTGCAAAGGTACAAGCCTACAAGGTCGTCTAATTTCCCAAAACAGCTGTAATATTACAGAAGTATATCTATACTGTTAAGAGAGGCCTGCTGTTATTTATGAGTAAGGACCCCAACAGCTCAAGTACATGACTTTCCTAAGAGACTCTTCAGAATTCTGAGCCTCCTGCTTCAACTTGCTGGACGCCACCGCGGCAGAGGAAGTAGGAGCCAGGGTCTTAGCCTTAGAGATGGATCTGATGTTGGATTTGGCGTAGTGATGGGCTGATCTGAGTTTACTGTGAAGAGTGTTTGGCATTTATAATAAATTGGGATGAGGCTATGGGCGGTGGTGGGATTGGATTTCAGTGGGGAGGAAAGGATAGACCCTGGTATTTGAAAGGATGGGTGGTGGAATTGAGCACATGGTTTCGGCTGAGAAAACAAGAAAGAAACCGGTGCCTAGGGCATTGGGGAGCCACTAACTAGACAAAACCATGGCACTGGCAGGGGCGGTTTTCTGCAAGGTTGTTAAACCGTTTTAAATTAATGAGCCGGACAAAGAATTTGAAGTTTGTTGGGCTAATTCGGACAATTTTTGCTTTTATTTTAATACCAATAAATATCACCAACCATGGTATAGACTGGTAAAAAATTGCTAATTTTTTTTTTTGTTTTAAAAATATATAAAAGTGAATATCATTTTGAAGAGCACAATTAGTCTGATTTATCTATGCAAAAAACTTTAAATTTCCACTCAAAACAAGAGAGAAAATCGTTCGTTAAATATTAAATAATCATGATTATTATTTATACTAGGGTTAGTACCCTAGTTTGGCGTAAGTGACAGTTCTGGTCCCATTTTTCAAATAAGACACTTATGGCCTACTTTTGAAACTATTAGACAAATTTGGCCCAAAATTTTCATGAGAGCGGCGGTGGCGTGGCAAATTTGGAACTTCGAAGCGGCGGATTCGGCCACCAAATTTCCCTCGCACGAAGTGAGCAACCAATTTGGAGCTTCGAAGCGGCGAATTCTTATGCCGTGTAGGCGGTGTTGAGCGGCGTCGCTATTGCTCTGGCTCGAATCAAGGCCAGAAACATCACGACGAACTGCAATCATATCACAAAAATATCCAAGAAACAAAACAACCAATTTTCTCCGGTATTTTCTCGGCAACCAAAGAGGCTAGTTCAAAATCTTCCCAATATGCAACTTCCTATCCAAAATCCAACTAAATTTGAAATCGGAAAGCAAACGGAGGAGAGGCGGAAATCAAAACAAGTAATAATATCTCCATGGTGTTGGGGCGACCACGTTGTCGGGATTGATGCCGACGCCAACCTTTACCGGAAATGGGCAGGGCGCGGTGGTCGGGGAACTCATGGGCGACGCGCTTCAAAAATTCGGTGAGCGTTTGAGTCGCCATGTTTTGGAAGTAAACGAATGAATTGGTTATGGGAAATTTGGTCCTGCTCTTAATATAATTAGGACCAATGTTGTCAGAATCGAACCGGAGCATGACTCGATAACGTGAACAGCTCGCACTTTAGTGGTTTAACCAATATTAGGCCGTTGAAAAACCGTTAAAGAACCGGTACTTTATAACAATAATATCATACATAGAATACACGTAAGGTAGTAATTTAGTAATTTAATGACTAAAATTAAATTTATTTTACAGGAATGAGTTAGTAATTTTACATTATTATATATATATATATATCCACTAAAAACCCTACCCACCCATCTAACCTAGTGGCTGCCCACCTCCCAAATCAATTACTGCATCTCCGTCCTTCCATTAACTCATCTTCTCCATCCTTCCTTTTTCTGTCCCAAATCCGCCATTAACTCCATCTTCTCCGTCCACTCTCCCCCCAAATCTGCCATCAATTCCAAATCCGCCATTAACTCCATCTTTTCGTCCCCTCTCTACCCAAATCTGTCATTACCTCCAAATTCGTTTGTAGGCTCTCTCGCCCGTTTTCCTTGAGAGCTCAAGAACAGAAGATCCTTCCCTGTTCTCCGAAGCAGACCAATTAAATCGACGGATCGAAGTTTAATTTCTCCTTCTTTTCTTTCAAAACGCGACAGGCGATTGGTAGTGGTTGAACGCATCAGCCCTCAGTTTTTTGGGTTTTTTATTTTATGATTTTGTAAGTTTTTTTTAAGTAAACCCAATGGCCTAGAGGGAAAAGCCGAGTGAGCGGCTCGAGCGGTTAACCGCCGCGGTCGCTCGCCAACCTCTGCAAAAAGCCTCTTTGGGAAGTGAACAAAATGAAAGGTCGATCCAAACATCTCATAGGCCGACCATTTTGATAAACTGAGGTCGACCGCATAAGTACCAGGTCGACCGCGTGCACATCGTATTAGTATTGGATAAGAATTCCAACACCACAAAGGTAATCCTAACTTATCTACCACTTAATTCGACCCATTCTCGTACTAAATATCTATGAATATGAATATATGTCACCTTCACAGCCACCGAGACTCTGAATTAGATTTTTTTTACGGTTAGAGCTTTTGTGAAGAAGATCCTTTGCGGTTGCTGCTGTATGTGATTCAAGAGGTCGACCACGTGGAAGTTATGAGTCCTTGTTATCATTATTTATGACTGATTCTGTTGGTTTGAAACGTAATTTGTACGAACAAAAGAACCACTCACATCGACATACATAAGCAAAAAAGACGCAAGACATAGGTTGATTTTCTTGTATTCGGTCGACCTCGTACCGGATTAGGTCGACCGCAAAACCAACACTTGATCTTCATTTTACGTCAAATGATGATGGATAAATGGATACAACACTTCTCTTCTATCTGGATGACCTCTTTCTGTAAATGATCGACCATTTTGTTAATGACCGCCATCAAGTGGTCAGCCTATATACCTTTACGGTAGACCATTTCGCTTCTGATGCCAATGAAAAGGGTGACTGCTGTTTTACTGTGGTCGACCGACAATGAAAACTTAAACTACAAACGGTCGACCACTACATTTTAAAGGTCGACAGTGATAATTCATCAGGGTGCCCACATTAGTGTATTCGAGAACCTAACAAAACTGAAACAACATATTAGGTCGACCTAATCCTATATAAGGTCGACCTAAAAGTGCAGATTAGGTCGACCTAATCCTACATGAGGTCGACCTAAAAGTGCAAGTTACGGTGACATGCATATCACCATAGGTAGGGCTGGAAGTTTGGTACCGGTATTTGGGATATACCGAATATCGTACTAAATTTGTCTATATTTGGTATTACGGAATACACGAATTATTTCTTGGGATTGAGATTGGGATTGAATTTCAATTGTTCTTCGGTATTAGGGATTACGGGATTGGGATCGGTATATACCGAAATACTGATCAATACCGAAATAAAGCTAGTGTGTATTTTATCCTCTCAACTAGACTCTCTCATTCACTACTATACGACCCTCAACCACCAAGAGTGTTATTTACTTATACATATATCATTCGATCACTATTAATAGTCGTCTCTCAACCTCCAATTCGTCAAATTGACGATTACCAATGACAAGAACTTAAGATGTCTCCTCTCCTCTATTCTCCTTAATAATATCCTAATTCCAGACTCTTTGCTTAGTCTTTTACCCCTAAAGTAAACAATAAAATCTAATTTATATAGTTAATTAT